AGACCATGAACATGAAACCATTGCGAGACTAGGGATGCCCTCCCCCCTTGATGGCCTCCACCATGACTCTACTCTGAAACCATAGGAATTACCTTTACTTGGAGTGATCCCAAGGCAGGGCACATATATTGACTCGACTATCCTGACAAACGCTGCCTGACATGTGTATTGACACAATGTTCTGACACTCCTGGACATATGGTCCGGCCTCGGTTCTGATATGTGTTCTGACATGCGTTCTGCCATGTATTCCGTCCTCTTCCGTCATTTGTCCATACCCGCCACCTGTGAATTGGGTGACTGGGTCAACAGAAAAACCTTCAACGCAAAGGCCGAGAGGCCGAAAGGGAGGCCGTTTTTTCCGCAGGAGCTGCGGCTGAGTTTGGGCTCACGGCTCCATACGGTCTCGGTGGGCTCGGCGCCTGTCACACGGAGGCCGTGGTTCTTCCCGGGCACCGCGTGGCAGGTGGGCAGATTGGTTAGGCCAACTTGACAGCCTCTCAAAGTGATGGCGCGATCCCCAAGTTCAGTGGTTAGTTTGGATCACCATTTTTGGTGCCACTGTTTGGTTCAACATGTGTCCACAATTTCTTGTCAGCCTTGCCTGAGATGGTCAATCCAGATGACTCTTCAGGTGGGCTGAAATCAGCTTTTTATGGAACACTCATTGCATGTTTCGGTCAACTGTCCATATCTTTCTTGATGTCATGGGTGCCTTTTTGTCGCATGTTGGTCTACTATATGTATATATAGATTATGTGTATATATATATATAGATAAGTAGATAGATAGAGATATAATAGATAGATGGATAGATATCAATGTTTGTTTCCTAAACTGGTTCGATAGACCTAGCTGCCGGGTACGTGACTGGATGAGCTTTACCCGTCGTGCGTTGGTACGAACCGTGTCACTCCTTGGGTTCCACCCTGGGAAGCCCAACGGGCCCAAGGTACCACCTGGACCTTCCTGCCATGTTTGGTTGGAGAGATGGTCATTGACTTATAGCTTGACCAATTGGTTTGGGCGGTGTGCACCTTGACGAAAAACACCGTCACCCTATAGTGGACCAAGCTGATTTGGTTCCTTTTCTCTTGGAGTGAGGGATTTGGATTCGTTTTCCCTTGCGCCTGCTTTTGTTGGTCGCTGGAGGCTTTACGATTTTCTGAAGAGGTGCTTTGAGTCGGAGACCTGCAGCCGCTCGTCGTCGAGGTCGGTTGAGGTGCTTTCTTCGCCACGTCGCCACACGTGTTTTTTGCGAGATCGGAGGTCGGAACGATAGATGCCATGTGTGTTTCGCTGTTGGTTTCAAAAAGGGCTCTAATGTAATTGCTGCTTAGCATGCTTCGCGCCCGTGTCTTTCCTGGGTTCCAACTCCCATCCGGCCGCCCTAGGCCCGGCCCCACAAAAGTGACTTCATCCCACGTGACGTGCCAAGCTCCGAGGTGTCACCAATAGCAACTTGCTCGCAAGTCTGAATGGCATCACAGTCTTGCTTTTTGGTTGGCAGCGGCAAGTTGCTTCATGAACCCAGTGGTTGATTTCTTCGCTAGCTTCGGCCCCACTTCAGATCTGAACCAGCTCGCGCCTTTCCACACAAGGCCATGGCATCCTCCCGCTCCAGAGAAAAGAACACTTCCCCGACGGTGGATAACCTTTATCCTTTTTAGGGGAATCGTTTCGTTGCTAAAATCCATCCCAACAGGTGGAAGGCTTAGCGAACCTTGATCTTCCAAGGATGTTTGGCATCGAGGGTCAGGATGGCTGCTAGGAAACCTGCAAGGGTTCGAACAGCAGGGTTCGAACGGAGGAGCTTTTTGTTGAACGCCGGAGCTGGAGGGATCTGCAATCGGGTCCCGGAACTGAATCCAGTCCTAGGCTATGGTGCCACGGAGGTGGGCCCCATCGCGCACAATGGCCACATCAATCCCAACGTGGAGGCCGATCCGGTCGCCCGTTGGCTCGTTGACGATTGGAACACCCAGTCGGAGCGGCAGAAGGAAGCTCAGAGGTCGGGATCGGAACCCCAAAAGTTTGCATGTTATACCTAGGAACTCATCCAGGCTAGAATTCCAGCCCGAATCCATTCAGGCAGTATTTCTGCCCGAACATGGTTTTCACGCCCGACCCTGGAAGTGTTTTTGTTCATTATATTATAGATATATTCTGCGAGTGATGAATACATGCAATGCAACTTGAGTCTACAAAATCCACCCGATCACACAGATTCTCGCCCGATCACCACAATTCACGCCCGAATCACACCGATTCTCGCCCGAATTGAAATGTCGAACATTGTTTCAAAACTGCAGATTTGCAACTTAGGTGCTTTGCAAGTAATATCAAGTAATTTGCAGCATCTGCCACTCTGCCCGAATAATGATTTCTTCCCGCAGGCTGCTTTTAAGGACAAACCCTGGTTCAGGCAGATGTTCTTGAACAGGCAGAAATTTGAGCCTGAATGCGGGTCCAGGTATGTTGATGGTGATTCGCAGGGGTGACTGGAGTGGAAGATGGCGAAAAGCTGCTTTCTGGAAATCCGGTCATCCTGGAGTGGAACATGTTATATAAATTTCATGCAAACATGGATGTTCGTCGATGGTTCTAATATGTTCTAATTGGAATTAAGTTTTGTCCATAGTTTTGCCTTTGGTTCCATCTCCTCGGGTCTTAGAATCTTAGGCAGTCAGGGTTGAGGCAATTTCTATCGGGCCTATAGCTACCCTCAAGCCTGCCACCAGGGGCAATGCACAGGTGAAGATTGTTCCTTGCCTGGAGCTGGGCCATGCTGAAGGAGCTGCTGGGGTGGTGAGTCATTCCTTCAGGCTACTGCGTCTACGGCTTTTTGCCGCAGGGGCCCGTCTGCCTGTTTCGCCTTTGTGTCCGAGAAGGCTTCCCCAGCGCAAGACTAGGCGAACGCGTAGGCGTAGGCTTTCAGGGGATTCTACACCAGACGAGTGGATCCTCCTCCTCAGTTTTCAGGACGGCCGCCAGACCGATCCACACAGCTCCTTCTCAACTGCAGTAAAGAGCGAGTGCACCCGCCCAAACACTCAACACATCACAACTAAAATACACATTTCAACAGCTTGATTGTTGTAGGTGTTCTTGTATGTTTGTTCATGTTTTTTCAATGTTTCAGGCTCGCGGAAGCGCCCGAGATAACATGAGACACTGGATTCTGGATGCTGCTTGCTTTATGTGGCGTTCCTTGAGTATGTTGTGTTTAACGGCCAAGTCAAGGTAGACTTGGAGGCAGAACACAATCTCCGACGCGCAGGAGGACGTGTTGGAGAAGTTCGAGTACGATGCAGGAACCGACGATGCTTGGACTTCCTCAGGCGGCCGTTTTGGTCACACAGACGCCAGACACGGAATAGAACGGCAGAACGTTTAAAGAACTGTTCAACCGATTTCCCATACACTCCATGTCTGTCATATAGACCCCCCAAACCACCCCAATGTTCAACCGATGTTGGGTTTCTCTTACTGGCAGAGGTTGACGTCAAAGCTTCGGTGATGTCAAGGGAGACCTCCTATAGGCACCCCGCTGGGTCCGGGCAGTGGCGCAATACATGGAAAAGTACGAGTGGAAATGCCCCATCTTCTGTTTCGACTGGATGAACACTCGTCAGATTTGGAGTTTGATGATGTTTTGATGTTGGCCGTGTGGTCAGCATGGGTTCAGTTGAGCCGTGAAATAGTGGTCAGAATAGGTCAGAATGGGGTTCAACCGCCGTTCGTGGTAATTTGGAGGTGTGGAAGCGCGTTCTTTGGCATTCTTTGCCCGTATGATTAGGTTTGACCTTGTTTTAAGGTAATTATAAACTGGCATATGCTGGCATATACTGTAATTATATAACCTGCGGTGGAACTAGCATAGCATTAACAACCAATATAGAACGTTCGCTGAGGAATGTCCCATTCTGAAGCACGATTGTTTGGCAAGACAGGTTATCCAGGCGACTCCGTGTTGGATGCCGTTATTTGAGGCGTCTCCATGTTTGGCAAACAACATTCCTGTCAAGCATTCATTGTCCATTCTCTCCACCCCTTTCATTGTGGTGCCCAGAGCTGTGTTTCTCAGAGCGCTTCGGCAGCCAGCCTCCAAGGGGTGCAGGCTCGTGGCTATGTGGGGGCAAGCCTTCCCACAGATGAGGAGGGCTACTACTGCACAGGAGCACATGCCCGGGAGGTTGGGAGACTCTTATGTACTCCCTGGAAGTGGAAAACCACCTGTTTGTAGTGGAAAATGGTCTTCCAAGGGGCCATTCTCCACCTCCATGTTAGTTTTAGGGAGTGTAGTATTTCTAGAGGTTCAGAAGTGGCTCACTGCGCCACGGCTGGGTGTGTAAAATGGGACCCCCTGGCCCGGCAGACTGGTAGACTAGTCGACTTCCCGAACCGGGAGTCGTTTTTGGAGGTCTCCCTACTTGAATAGGTCCGAAATTAGGATGATCGTTTAACTGTATGGAGGGAACAGTGGTAGAGGCAACCTTTTGTCACGAAGAGTTTGTTGCCATGTTCGTCTCTCCAGCGGCTACGCGATGTTACGCATTGACTGCTCAAGAAGGTATACTCCCAGCTCAAGTCATCCTGGATGATCGTGAAACGCAGGTTTTGTGGGCGTTTCACCTGTTTGTTCGATGTGAGTACAGTTGCTGGTGAATTGTAGCTTTATAGCTCAGAGATGTTGAGGAAGCAACCCTGTGACAAGAGGTCACAGCATGTCCCGACCAAGGGCCCATTCCTGCAGTTACCCACACACTCCTTGTATGGCATGTTTAGATACATATATACATCGGGGTGGTTGAACAGGGGTCAATACCTATAGGTATGATTCAATATATATAATTGTATACATAGTTCTATACATGGAGTGTTTGGGTTATACTAGGTGCTAGGCTTCGTTTGGGAGAGCCCAGGGGCGGTTCCCAAGGAACATTCAGCATCGAGCGTCGAAGAAGATGTATGTATTTATATATAGAACATATGTAATACCAAGCTATTACCTATTTACCTCAATACGATGGGGAAGCCTCCTCCTCGTGACCAGCTAGAGACATGGGTCGCTCCAGACCGTCCGAAGACATTCGCTCGTTTCCTGACCTCCAGGGGACCTGGGCCGCCAAACAGAAGATGGGCTCTTGGAACTCGTAGGCGGGATGGGGTGCGGCAAAGGGAAGCAGCTGGTGGTTAGGAGCTAGGCTGGGGGCCCGGGGGTGTCCATCATTTGCCCCTTTCGCTGCAGGGAGTTTTTTCTTTAGCTATCAGGGAGTTTCCCAACTAAACATGTTTCTCCTCTGAGCTGCAGGATCGACTCCTTAGGAGATTTGGTTGTTTTATATATCTATATTATGTACATGCTTGCGCTTGCATGGATGTCTCCATTTCAGGCCTCTCAGCACCTGCGTTGGATTCTATGTGTGATTATGGAAGGAGATGGACATAGATAGGCATTAATGATGAATCCTGATTAGCAAAAGGGATTCCCCCCCTCCCTCCAACAAATGGGAGGTCCTCTAAAATAAACTACCACTAAAACAAATCTAGGTTCCTGGGAGGATTCCTTTTGTAATTGATTGTAGTATTCATGTTCTTTGTAATTAGGAAGAACTAGAGGCAGGCCAGCCATTGGCTTAGTAGTATTAAGAGTTGCTATTCTGTTTTTTTCAGTCAAAAACTTTGCACAATTCAGGACGCTTAAAGCAAACTCATTATTGAGGATAAGGGGCCTTCCTGGTCTACTACCTTGAACATTTGTTTAGGAACAAACTTTACATAAAGGATTGATTAAGGAATTGGTGGCTTTGGGAAGCTGTAAATGTTGAAGAACAACTAGAGACACCTATACTGATCAATATGTTCAGCAGGCCACTCATTGACTTAGCATTCGCAGGTCTCCGAAGGATTTGCAACCCAAATTACTTTTTCAGATAGTAGAAAAATAGGATCCCCAAAACAATTAGCATAATAGAGGACCCTTAAAGCAAACATGGTGTCCAGAATTAGTTTTGGAAAATTAGCATTATAGAGGATCCTTTTACTTATCAAGATCCAACATTACACAGTCTATAGGTGAGATATTATATATATTAACTATATATATATATATATTATATATATACATTTATGGATGGTTATGGTACTTTTTCCTGGTACTTATTCCTAAATCTCCTGTTTAATCAGGAGATTCGCTTGAACCCTTTTGAATCCATCTACATCAGGATCACTTCTTTCATCAGGGATTTTGTTGTAGCAAATGTCCCAATTCAGAACCTGAATCGGGAACGCTGACGAGCACGTTAGGCGTCAGGGTAGCAAGGTGTCGCCGGGGAAAGCGTGTTCCGCTGCGCCCCAGGCCGCCGGGGAAACGTCACCAAGCTGGCCAATGGTTTTTTTGTCTCTGCGGAGGGCCTCGAAGAGGTCTATGTGCGGAGAACCCAGGGACGGTCCCGACGGTCCCGGACCTTTCACGGCTTCGCCGGGTTCTTCCGGTGACGGCGCCCGGTCGGGATCACCGGTCACAGACCGGCTCCAACAGTAGGCAGAATAGGAGAAGCTTCTCGACACGGCTCGGTGTTCCAAAGGTGAGACACGGCGACGGTTGAACCGCCGTGTGTCGTGGGAAAGACCTGGTCACCAGGCCAGTGCAGTGAAGGAGTTGGACCAAATCTTCATCCTCGCGCGGCCATCGGCTGGAGACTCAGACAATCATTCCCCTACTCAGTCAGGAGTTCAGTAGATCACCTGCAGGTCCACGAAGTTTTGGGGCTTTGGTTTCCCACTAAACGAGAAAAACTACTAAAGTTCGATTAAAACTTTCCCGGGAAACGGCTCGAGAGTCAGATTTACTAGAGTCTGCAGAGGTCACGGGCGGAATCAGCGGGATGGCAGTACTCAGGTGATGCAGGAAATTCGAGGGAATGACCCAACCATACCCAACCTGCTAGCGATGGCAGGAATGGCCCAACCATTCTTCAGAAGATGTTGCTGTGGTGCAACTATGAGGATGGACGTGCGCATTTGCTGAACGCCCCCATCGTCTCACTACTCTTCTTCCTCACATGGACTCACCACCTGTTTGTGCAGGTCTACCAGGTCTACCAGGGATTTCCATCAACTCATTTGTCACTTCCATGTGTTTGTGGGAGTGTTCATTGGCTAAACTCTTCTCCACTCACCTCCAAAAGGCCCAATGAACGATGTGACATGGTGGCTGCGGCCCCACCACATGGTGGCCGCCAGGCCAGTATGGTGGCTGCGGCCTGTGTCCAGCGCCCATGGAGCAAGCTGAGTCGGACTGAGCTTTTGCAGGGGACTTAAGATTCAGAACAGTCGTTACTGTGTAGAGGATTTCCAGATATATCGATCATTTCATGACCCTTCACCTGGTCAGGGCATCACTGAACATTCTACTCGGCAAGATGTTCATGGCAGAAAGGACTTCACCTAGTGAAAGATGTGGAATGGCATCCTGTCATGTTTGGTGACCGCAGGAAGACCGGGGAGGTCGCAAGCCGGTCTTCCGGGCGGTCTAGCTCTACCTGGTGTTCAATTTGGTCGAAATCTTGAAGGATGCCACTCAAGAGTAATTACTTCCTAGTATCTTGAGACTCTAACACCAGTTTTAGTAGTATCTTGTCGGAATCCATGGCTATCATTGATGACCTGCAGCTGGAACATGCTGGAGGTAAACCTGATGTTGCATTGAGCAGACTCAACAGCAAGACATGCCGCTCCCGATTGCGGTACTGTAATTCTTTGCCATGGGCTTTTCATGATGTGTAGTCTCATTATTGCTAGCTGATTCCTGGCAGCCATGAAGTGGTAGCTCATCCACTGGCTTATTCGCTCCCATGCACTCGCTGGCGCTCGCTGGGGAGCGTGGCCATCGCTCTCGCCATGGCCAGTCGCTTGACCAGGATCGCGGGGCGCCGTTGGACTGCTGTCCTTCCACCGGATCAGGTCGCCAACGATCCGCGTCTTCCAGTAATCTGGGCTGTTGATGAATAATGATGATATGTACGGGGGCACCATATATTATCAAATCATTCAAAGTGGATGCGGTGAAGCAGCAGGAATATATTAAGTACACATGTTTGGCGTTCGAAGAGGCATCACCAGCCAGGCAGCCAGGATCACACTGATTGATCCTCTAAGGTCCTCGTAATTTAATGTGGACTCATGATTATATATATATAAATATAACTACCCACCCATTGGATGGTAAAATCACCCGCGGCGAGAGGACTTGTTGCATGATCCTTTGCCACGCGGGGTGCTGTATCATTGTAGGGAGGTTGATGTTTTGACACCTGCGGTCGGGCCACAAAAAAAACAAGGTTGGAGATTGACAGCAAACAACAGATGGCTCTTTCATGACATTCCGGCCGGCCCTCCCCGATGTCCGCCAAGATTGTCGTGTTTGTTTCATCCTTTTTCCTCCATCACCGTTGTTGAAACAAGCCAGTCGCTTGGATAAAGACCAGCCAGTAAGAGCAGTTTTCATTTGCAGATTGGAGTTTTCTACCCCGCCCCAGAGGTCGTTGACACCCTTGTGTTCACACTGACCGGCCAAAGGGCACGTGTTGGACCAAACTCACCAGTCACCTCTCACTTGTTCTACCCTACCCTTATGCTGATGTGCACTTACTTACATGCTCGCACATCAGCATCAAAACCAGAAAGAGTTACAGTAGCAGTGTTGTTTTGTTTTATGTTCACTGAGGTTTGGACTTCCCACAGGCACCCTGGACGTCTCACAAACCACGCAGAAATCCGCCATGGTGTTTGGCATTGGCACAGCTAAGGTGCAGAAGCTCCAAAGCTGAGCATCAACATCGCCCTGCCCAGCGGTTCCTCACTGACCTTGACAGCATCAGCCACCAGCCCAGTGGCAGAATTGAAGACTGCTGCACAGGAAGTGCTGAAGGTTCCCTTCTTGCAAGTCATATCAGTTAAGGGGCAGCTGCTAAATGCAGCCGAAACTCTGGAAGAAGCAGGAATTCACCAGGGAGACGTTTTGACTGCCATTGTTCAAGAGCCCAGGTTGGCTGCCACACGTGGTGCTTTTGCCTTTTGGTGTTGTGGAAGTGGCGTTGTCACCTGGGGGAATCCTGAGATTGGAGGTGATAGCAGTGGTGTTCAAGATCAGCTGAAGGATGTCCAAAGCATTGAGGCATCCGCCACAACATTTGCTGCTCTTCGCTCGGATGGATCGGTGGTCTCTTGGGGTCATCCCGCTGCAGGGGGTGACAGTAGCCAGGTCCAAGATCAGCTGAAAGATGTGCAACAGACCTCCTTGGATTGCTAAAGAGGTATTTCTTTTTGTGATGTTTTGCTTCACTGGGAATGCCCCAACCTCGAGTGATCGCCCGAGTCGGGGATGGGTTTCTGATGGTGAGGTCCGAGCCCTGATGGTAGGTCCGCATCACGAATCGTGAGGGGCAAGGTTCAAGGGTTCCGGTCGGAACGAGTCGGTCGTTCATCAGATTCATGTGGTTCCACATGGTTTGATTCATGTGGTTCCGGTCCGTCAAGAGGAGGGATAGACTCAATCTCATGAGAGATCCCACAAACTATATACAGTAAATCTGTTCATGCGGAGAAGTCCCCAAGACTAAATCTCTTCATGAAGAGAGGTCGACCGATTTTGCCAATATACCAAACAATGAGCCAGCAGGAGCAAAAGGTGTTTCGGATGTGAATTGAACAAGGGATAAGAGATGTCAATTGGTTGGCAATATAGGACCATGCAACGAGGGATTGGTGAACTACAGGTGCTAAAGAAACGGGAGAAATGCGATTAGGTTTCAAAAGATTGGGGCCAAGAAGGTGGAACAAACTAATTGGCTGGAATGGGTGCCCACTTTGGAGAATGCGCCAGAAGGCTTTTTGAAAGACAGTTAGCGTCGGAGGGAAAAACCGGACTAAATTAGTAGGGGAGGGTTCCTGAATCATTGTTTGACATTAAGGTTCTGGTGTGTTCTGCACCCAGTGACCATCCCCGTTTGAGCAACATGTTCTGCGTGTTTCTTTCCTGAAAGAGCCGAGAACAAAAGGTGAAACTCACCAGTGTGCCGCGTAAGCATTTGAGTGGAGCATTGGTTCCTGGGAAAGCTTGCCTTTTGCACCCTGTGAGAGCACCCGTTCAAAAGCTGCAACTTTCAAGTGGCGCAAGTTGCTTTCGCGAAGGCAGCACAAGTGTTTATTGCGCAATGCAACGTCAACCAACTTTTGCCGCGAAGGTGTTCGCGTAAGTGCTCCGAATCCAAGCACCGCCTAGTAAGCTCTTGCAGCTTCGAAAGATCTCGAAAGGCCCTGCGGCCCTGCAAGTTTCGTGGATGTTAGTCAAAATTCCACCCCATGAAAAATGCATTCTCATGTGAATCTTGTAAGGATCTCCCTCACATCGATCAACTAATTAGCCGCTAGCCCAAACGAAACTAACAAAACACAAAAACAGTACAGGCGAGTCGCTTGTAAAGTCAGTTGGCAATTCCTGAGAACAATGCCATGTTGTCTAGAGTCTCATTGTTTTCAAAGGCAGCTGTTCCAAACGTGGTGGTCAGTTTTTCTTCATCATGCCCCAATCGGAGATGGATCTTGTTTTGTTCTTGGGTGGCAGGCACCCTAAGTCATGCTATTCCCCACGGTGGCACTAAGACACTTGAACTTTTGGGACCATGTTCATAACACCCGTCACCTCTTGTAGTAGGGGAAGGTCAACCGTCAACTCTGTTTTTTGTACTCACTTAGATATATGATGATATATGCATTGAACGAAGGATTTGTGCTGCGGACTACGCCTTTGCAGCAATTCTGAAAGATGGATCCGTGGTGAGCTGGGGGCGTCCTATGTATGGAGGTGACAGTAGCAACTGAGCTACCAAGACGCGCTTTGCAGTACGGCGCTTTGCGTGGATATTTCAAGAAATACAACGTGCAATCCCTGCAAGCATGTGTTGGAAATAGTTTCTATTGATTTGGGTGCCTCCAGCTATAAATATCAACCACACTATGAAGAGCGAGCAGGACTAATATGGCATGGAAAACTATACATTCCAAGCTTCAGTCCGACGGCATAGCTTGTCTCACCAAAATCCTGTCTTTTAAAGGCGATGTGGTCTCCAATCATAGAGTCCGGATGCAAACTCTACAGAAACAGTTGACGTTCCCCATGCAAAGGTTTCCTGCAGATGTTCTTGTCATTCTGTTTTTCATGTGGAAAGCTATGATGCAAAAAAGTTGCTCAGGCAAAGTGGCTGGGCTGCTGAAGGACGTGAAGCATCTTGCAGCTTCCAAGGCAGCCTTCGCAGCCACCCTGGCCAATGGTTCAGTAGTCACCTGGGGCGACGACGACTATGGCGACTCAGCGGACAAAGGGGTTGGTAAATTTCACAGATGTTTAACGTGTGGCTCTCTATAATACTATAGTATTTGACCCATATCCACGATGTGGTTGTAATGCGCAGTAAATCATACACAAATGACATGTTTGACCATGTTGACCTATTTTCAAACCTCCCTCTTATAAGGAGAAGTTGATGAAAATCCAAGCACGCACGAGCCACTGAGCCACTGGTCAATCTGTTTTCTTGGGCAACTATTTGACGATGGAAGCTGAGCAGCACCCCGAACATGATTTTCCAGGCCCTATTGGCCTGAGGTTCAGTAAACATACCAATCCCACGGTTAGTTTTGCCACACTCTGCAAACACCCTCAAATCATTGAATCCATATCGCACTTTCTGCAGTTCCGTTGGTGTGTATGTTAATTTGGAGACCCCCTGGAATGGGTAGCCGGGTCGATTTTCCTTCAGGGTCGGAACGCCTGGGAGGTCGAACACCCCAATCTGATGGGACGAAAACGTGCGAACGGAACGCCGGAGTGTTCGTAGGCGCACCAAACGCACACCGGGATTTATAATATATATACCTGAATCTTCCTAGGGCTGCACTTTTTGTTGCGCCTCCAACCTAGAAGGCGCCTCTAGGAACTGAGAGGCAATTTTTTTGCAAGAGGCGATTCTTGTTTTACATAGATTTCTCCCCAGTTATGTTGATAGAACATATGACAACCGTGATAACAATGAAACTTATACACTTGACATATAGGAAAAAAAACACCACAAACCCCGAACCATGAACCAAAACACAAGTTATATGCATTCAAAAGGTTCAAGCATGATAAAAATGTGAAACACATGAAGGCATGATAACTCACTGTGGAAAAGTGAGCGCATACAACATTATATATGAACTGCTAATTTTCCACTTGGATTGGCCTGCGAAAAATGACCCCCACAAGTCCGGCTTTCCCCTTCAAAACCTGCATTTCAGGCAGGTCGAACCGGACTTGTAGGGGTCTTTTTTGCATGGACAATTGCAAATATGAACATTATATCGCGCAATTTGATAAACACACATGAAAACATGAAACACATGAAAGCCACATAAAAAACCTGAAACATATGAAAAAACATGAAACATATGAAAGCTACATTAAAAATATGAAAGCACAGGAGAGCAACATGAAAAACATAACACATGAAACATATGAAACAAACACAACATACACGAAAAACCTGAAAGCACATGAAAAACATGAAACATATGCAAAAACATGAAACCCATGAAACAATGAGAGGCGGAACTTCCCGGGTAAGAGGCGGAACTTCCCGGGTAAGAGGCAGAATTCCCAGGTTATGAATTTTTGGCATAGTCTTTAATTAAGTCGACTGGTTGCCGCTTTCAGGCTCGTCTCTAATCGAAAGGGGAAAGGGCGTATCAGCTTCCATCCCGTGTTTTTCGAGTTCGACCCTGATGGCTGGTTTGACGTTAGTGAAAGAAGAGAAATATGTGGACAAACTTGATGGTGACGATGCAACCCTGATGTCAGAGCTGCAACAACCGCAGGTGGGGCTCTTCGTTTCTATATATAGGTATTGATGCTCACCTCTAGTCAGTGTTTTGGTCTGAACATTTCCTGGCTAAACATTTTAGCTTTGTTTTCTGCCGGCTGCAGGCGCTCAGGTTGCAAATCCAGCAACTGCCTACTCCTATGAACTCTGCCTTGAAAGACCTCCAAACGCCAAACACCTTGGAGAGTTACGTCTTGCCTGATGATGAAACTCAAACGGCTGGTTTGGGTTTGGATGCAGTTGCTAGCAAGCATGATGAAACTCTGTTTGCTTGGGTTTGACCGATAATCTTTTATCATGTTGATAGCTGTCGGCAGCAGCAGCGGAAGACCACCAAAATCATTACAAATTACAAGATTTCCTTCTACCAGAAAAGCACGAGAGGCAGTTAAACTCTTGAATGGAGAGGCTAACATTTGAGCCTCTCTGCTAAGAGGCTGAGAAAAGCAACCGCCGGAGGTTTAAGGTATATAACGTCCTCTTTTGCTTTCTCAAGACACACCACATCCATGTCAACCCTTTTTGCCATCGGGCAAGGAGGTGACAGCCACGAAGTGACCGATCAGCTGAAGGATGTGAGCGAGATCCAGTCCACTGAAGCGGCTTTCGCAGCGATTTTGGCCGATGGATCTGTTGTGACTTGGGGTGATCATCATGAAACTTGGCTATCCGAGGGAAATGGATGTGCATTAGAGTGGGGCGGGCCGGCGGGCCTTCAGAAAAGGGTGTTTGTTGATTTGTCCACGTTCCCTGACTTTTGGATATGTTCCACTATTTCAAGCCACAGCCAGCTCCGTTCTCGCTGTGCTCACCAATCTTCCCAAGACTGAACGGCTTGAGCTCGAGGGTTCTTGGTTTCCTGGTTGCCCCTCACCCACAGCCTTTTCTAGAGAGGGAAGTGTATAGCTCAGAGGAACTGAAAAACAACGCACCTGCTGGGGTTCCTATTGTAGCACATTGATATCCTGCCATGAAATATCGACCGATGCGTATCATTCTGCGCGTGCTTCCGTTCAGGACACCCTCGAGGCATAGGGGCCGTAGATGGGGAACACTGTGTCATGTATATTCCACCCGGTCATGTGCAAGCTGCCAAGGAAACCTTCGGAAGTGACAGCCGAGCAGTTCAAGACCAGTTGAAGCTTAGTTAGTCAAGTTGCTGTTGTTTCCCAATCTTCAGTAGATGGAGATGCCAGAAAATCCTATTAACAGCGGGAAATGTGTTTGTATGAACTGCGTGTGCCCCTGCTTGTTCCTACTCTTTCCAAGGGTGGTGGCTCTTCATGGTGTTTCCATGTTGGAGCGTGGGCCCACACTGAACACCAAGGAGGTCCAAGAAGCCTATATATTACTCTAAGTGATGATTCTATTGTGTGCACCTCTCGATCTTTGCTCCTCCCCCCTCAAAACATTGATACTCAGATTCTGTATTCAAAAACAACATGTTTGACCACTGGCAATGCAAGTCTTCAGGGATTGATCCTGTTGTCCTGAGCTGACAATCGATCTGTATAGATTTTGGAATCTTGAACTCTATCTATGTACGCAGAAACTCTGTTTGACATGTGGGACTGTTAGAAGCACTCCAATTCGATACAGGCAACAAACAAAGAGAACGAAACAGGTGGCATCGCACACAATTCACGTCATGCTACCATGTATACAAAGCCTCCATTTTTCTTGACATTTCTTGGGAAAAGTTGGAAAAAGGCCTAACACCGATGTTTTGGCATGTTTTGGCTCCTTTTCTGTCCTCCGGCCGCACCGATCCTCTCGGATGCGCCGTCACGCGCCGAATTCGTCGCGGCGTCCAACGCGGTGGCGCCCGACGCCCGAGAACTCCCCACGCTCCGAGGAGGAACGTCCAGCAGATCTGCGGCTCCTCCGCAGCCTTCGCAGCCCAAAGACCAGACGGCTCGGTGGTGACCTGGGGCGATCCCCGCTTCGGCGGAGACAGCAGCGAAGTGCCTGGGACGATCCTCGCTTGAGAGCGAAGGGTTAGCGCGAGGGTGTGGCAACCGTGATTGGTTGACGCGGCCGGGTTCGCCATGGTCCAATTCCTTCCTGAAGATGTGGGCAAAAGATGGGACACATGAGGAAATGTGCGGTGATCGTGGTTCGACTCTTGAGCAATATATCAACTCTCAACCCCCCATATTCGAGGTTGTCCAATCTAAATACGGGGGGTGATTGATTATTATTGCAGCTGTTTTCCATGATGAGACAGTTGAGTTCTGCAGACATCGGTTCATGCCAGGTGCGTGCACAGCTGAGAGATGTGCAGAAGATCTATGCAACAGGCAGTGCGTTTGCAGCCATCTTGGCAAATGGATCTGTTGTAGCCTGGGGAGATCCAGAGTCACCTGGCCAAGTCTGAGGCATAGCTTTCTTATCTTTCTTGGTAGTGGTGCGTTGCGAATCATTTCAAGTAGATTGACCAAGTCACATGATTGTTGTTTGTCTCCAAGGTACTGGTGACATGGTGATGAACTGTATTCTTGCACTGCCCTTCACAGTCCATTTTCCAACTAAAGACTCACACTGATTTGTGATTCCTAGTGAATGGTAAAGGATGAAAGTGCCGTTTATGTTGTTCGGAAAACCCACAGGTGAACATACGGAGAATTACATAGATTCGCTAATTCAGTCGAAGGAACCCTTGCGATTTCTACTATATACATGCCCCGATCTTGAGACAATCGCATTTGCATTGAACATAAGACACCCCAAGGCAACATATCACATATCATCCTACTGAGCTCAATAGGGCGTGGGGGATAGTGGCACCCAAGAGAGATCTGTGGGGAGCCATTTATTTAACACTGACCTTTGCTTGATTCGCATGTTGCCCACCCTTGGCCAATCAGCTTGAGTCCTTTCTTTTGGACCTTTGATGAACAGCAAACTCATGTATAAGTTACATTACGGACTATATATCTATATAGGGCATCCAATTTGCAGTATTGAACAGCTATACTCCTCCCCAATACTACATTCAACCAAACTATATTTATTTAAACTATTGTTATAACTTCCTCCAACCGCGATATGGCTTGGCTGGCCGGACATCAGGTCTGGAGGTGATAGCTTCGAAGTGCAAGATCAGCTCATCGACGTGAAACACATCGAGGCGTCCGAGGGCGCCTTTGCCGCCCTTTTGGCTGATGCATCCGTGGTTTCTTGGGGCGATGCAGAGTTCGGCGGCGACAGCAGTGGTGTGGCTCGGGCGGAAGAGGGGCTGGGATGGGGCGTGTGAAGAGGACCTGCAAACAAATATTTTGAAGTTTTCAAGATCCTGCAAGCACTAAGACCAACCAGTCATGCGGGCCATGTTTATCCACCCATACCGACATCACATGGAGCTATTCAGCTAGATGATTGGGATTGCTTGGTCCTTCTGTTGACAAAGCAAACGTCTGTGCAAAAGAAAGTTGAGTTCGAGATACCCTCGTGGAGATTAACGTGGACCCCCCCAAATCCACTGTGTAAGGATCTTCCATGGAACAATTTTTAGGGTCGTTTTTAGCCTGCGGAAGGGTAGTTGATGGATTTTGTGAGATTCTGTTCCTAGGGCTTTTGCTACTGGTACTCACTAAGATGGAAGTGGAACTCTTGCGCGAAGGACTAGTCTTCCAAGGGACCATGCCATCCACTTCCTGCTTGGTTTCTGTGTTCAGAGTCCAGAGTGCTGGATTCGAATCTACTTCCACCTACCCCTCCTTACTGACACAGAGTGCTTCCCTAAGGATACCTTCTCAGGTTCGGTACGACTGGACCCTCAAAACCTACATGAGAGTGTCGAACACATCACCGTACCTGAGGTTCGGTACGACTGGATCCCTAGGGCTTGAGAGTCCAAGGTTCAACGAATCATCGTTTTGTTTGTCCTTGGTCAGCTTCCCTGCGCGGGTGCCCCCCCGTCCTTGTTTTCGTCCTTGGCCAATCCGTTTCTTTGAGGTTCTTCATCAATTGATCGGTGTCAAAGAGATCAAGGCATCAGAGTCCTGGTGTGACGAAGTGTCTAGTTTCTTCAATATGACTCCAAGGTTTTTCGGCCGCCCCACCCTTCTTCCCAGTTTGGAAGAGTCGCCAACTGAAGTTCGCCGCAGTTTGGGTGTTTTAAGTTTCTTGATTTCTGGAATGTCTCCGAATCTGAGTGGTGATCTGGAGATCCTTCCCCGGAAGTGGATTCAGGATGTTTTTTGTTTAGGTCTTGGACGTTCGCGGCCATCCCAGGATTATAGTTTCGCGGCCATCCTGGCGAATGGATCTCTAGTGAGCTGGGGAAATGAGCAGAATCTTTGCTGATGGCTTGAATCCTTCTTTTTCTGGTCACAATGCTGGCATCGTGAGCGAGATGAGATATTATCTTCGATTTCTGGTAGAATTACAAGTATTTCCTCACAAGGTATTTAATCTAGATCCTCCTCGTGGCACGCATCCCGGACACCTTCTTAGAAGGCACTTGGAGTTCTAGGGTGTGCCCAAAAATTCCCAAAGAATCAGGGGATCGACCTGTCCAGGTGGCAGGTTCAATCCCCACCCCTGCAGTGGCTAGGGGATGAGCGGGCTGGGTGGGGTGCGGACCGTTAAAACATGTTAAACAACAACAACAACAACAACAACAACAACAACAACAACAACAAC